CTCGCCGAGGGCCGCCGAGGTACGTTGAAACGATATTTCCTTTCTGTCCCTGCTTGCATATACTATACCTCTTCCGAAAGAGCATTGCGAAAATGTGGCGATGGTACGGCTTGAGTTGCGTTCGGAGGTTGAAACGGAGATGCAAGCACATTGGAAGCAAATGCGCCGGATCACCGGAGCTAGCCTACTGTTAGCCAGGATATGAACCCTCTCAAATATGAAACAAGTACATACGACCACAGGGTGTGGAAAACAGGGCTTCCCGTCCGCTCAGCCGTACTTAAGCCACACGCCGGGAGGTTAGTAGTTGGGTGGGTGACCACCAGCGAATCCCTTCTGTTGTATGTTTTCCAATTTTTTTCCTTCTCCCTCCAGAGGAGGGATAACAACATTTCTTTTTCTTTTTGGCTCTTCAAGTCGCTAGAGTAATCCAGTTACATCATGAACTAACATATCTCCAACAGCGTCTCCGCGAAATCACAGACCCTTCCTCATCCCCCTCCATCACCAAGGAAGAAAACCCCTACCACCATCTCCGCATCACCGTCACAAGCGGTGGATGCCATGGATTCCAATACCTGATGTCCCTGGAGGCCGCATCCAAGATCGACGCGGAGGAAGACACTGTTTTCGCAGCCGAGCCTGAGGAGGGAGAGGCAGAGGTAGCAGGTGCCGGAGAAGCTAAAGTAGTCATGGATGAGCCATCGCTGGAGCTTCTTTCGGGCAGTACGGTGGACTATACGATGGAGTTGATTGGAAGTCAGTTTAAGATTGTGGACAACCCGCGCGCAACGAGTAACTGTGGGTGCGGGACTAGTTTTGATGTTCAGGATTAAATGACCTAGCTAGATAGGTCTATTATTCCTGGACCCAACCAACCTAACTGTATATGTGTATCATACTAGAATATGAGATAGAGTAATGCTATACCCCCCCAGGCCCTGCTTCTTCTTATTTTACTACAGAAATTGTATGGAGAATATTTGCTTAAGTCATCATCTATTTCATCATGCGGATTCTACATCCCTGTCTGTCCTCTGCTAGCTAAGACACAAACAGCTCGATGCACACAGACCAGACCGTGTCGAACCGGAAGCAAAACCAAACACAAGCATAATGGGATACGCCTTGGAACATTTCCTCAAATGAAAAACAAAAAAGGAAAAGAAGAATTCTTTTTGTCGACTCCAACCCCGTATAACCAGGATGGTCAAAGGGTTGTGCGACCAACCCCTTGAGTAATGAGAAGCATGGACAATCGAAGCAAGATATGGGAAGCGGAGGACAGAATAAATAAATAGATAAGATAAAAAAAAAGAATCATGATGTTGGTGGGATAGGGAAGACGTGAGTAAGTGAACGGGCCCACAAAAGGTGAGAGGGTAATTGATGACCCGTTCGAAAAAGCACGACTTGGACTCGATTGCCAACGATCCCCCTTCCCAGCTGATGATATCTCCTGAACCACACATCCCCTTCTTTCTGTTTGCACTTCAGTGTGTCTCTCGTGGTTCCTTGCTGAGATTGAGTACCCCTTCGTGGAGTCTAGTTACAGACCGGACGCATGTCTCAAGTCAGATGACGTGGGGATATGCGTTTTGGCACTAGAAGGGGTCGCTGTAGCGTACTCGGACTTAGTAGACACGAGCAAGGTTCCTGAGGTACCAGTCCACGAGACGGCGTCCGGCCTTGGTCTCGCTGACGTGGATGAGGTCGTTCTCCAGAGCGTAGTCGAGGTCGTTGGCGTTGACCGGCTCGCCCTCCAGAAGGCCGCCCTCAACCCAGCGCACCTGACGGCTGCGCTGCTTGTTGATGAGGAGCCAAGAGCGGAGCTTCTCGGGCTCGACCTCCAGGAAGCCAGCCAGCTTCTTCAGGTCCATGGTGGTGTAGAGCTTCAGGTAGGAGCGGATGGTAGGGTTGTACAGGGTGTTCTTAACCTCATCCATGAAGATGGCGGTGTGGTGGTCAACAGGGTCGACGTTGAGGGCCGGGTTCTCGAAGTCGGGGGGAGTGGGGCTGATGAACTTGGGGCAGGCCGAACGGAAGAGCTCCTCGAACAGAGGAAGGGCCTCGGGGCCACCATGCTGCAGGCGGTTGAGCTGCTCGCCGTACTTCTCGCGCAGGGCGGAGTGGATGGTGTCATCCAGGCGAGTGGGGTGGAGAGCGACACAGATGGCGATGAGAGCGTACATCTGGTCGTTCTTCTTGGCGATGGCATCGTAGCTGTTGCCACCCTTCTGGAAGTTCTTGGTCCGGGAAACGTAGACCAGGATGTGGCTGAACATGCGGATGGCATCGGCATAGCGACGCATCATCATGTAGGAGAAACCGACATAGTAGTAGGTGGTGAAGTGGGCCGCCATGACACGGGCGAACATGGCCTTCTTGTTCATCTCGATGTCGTCGAGGGTCTTGAGGGCAAGGCTGAAGTCACCCAACAGACAGTGGACACGCAGGAGTCCAATGATGGAGAAGTATCCCAGCATCTTGTACAGAGGGCGGGAGCCATACTCTCCGGCAAACGCCAAGGGGTCCTCACCACGCTTGATGGCAGCCAATTGCTCGTTGATCTGGGACCTTTGGATGAGGGAGTAGAGGACGTTCAGCACGGAGTAGCAACCCCACGTGTTCGGGTTCTCACGGAGAAGCTGGGCCTCCTCCTCGTTGGAGCCGCTGCGAGCGACGCGGTTGCGGTAGCGGCAGAAGGATTCGAACTGGTAGATGAACTCGTCGATGACATCCCAGGCCCAGTAGTACTGTTGACAATAAGATGGGCTAGTTAGCACAGTGTATCAACCGCGGTGATTCAACCGCACACAATTGCAAGTCAAGGCAGCGAAGCATGTATCAAATACAGCTGCAGCCGCAGCCGCAGCCCGTCGCACCTGACAGATGGAGGAGTACATACAGAAGGAACCTCGAGCTCAACCGGACCCTCAGAGTTCAGGATGTAGTGGAAAAGGCTGCAGTAGTTGTCGTAGCTTGCGAACTTGGTCTCGAGAGTAGCCTGGTACTCGAGCGGGGTGGCAGCAGCAGCGAGCTGTGCCTGGAGGTCCTGCGTCTGGGAACCACCTCCAAGGGATGTCGTTCTGTCCAACTCACTCATGCCATCGTCGAAGTTGACCTGCTCGCGGTAGTCGTTGACAAGCGCTTCCTCCTCCACATCGGACTCGTCGCCCAGGTTGGGGTGCGCGTTGGCGCGCTCTTCGTAGGACATTTTGCGATAGAAGTACGTCTGTCGACGAGTAGGAAATTGTCCGGCAAACGGTCGGGGGGGTTGGGTGGGGAGGAGAGGGGGCACGTCGTCTGGCGTAGCGGTTCGGCGTCGGCGTGTGGGATTTCGATTGTTTCGGCGGAGTCGAATTTTGAGGGTTTTCGCTTGAATGAGTTGTGCTTATCTTATCTGGGGATAACTTCAGTGCTGAGTCAGCTATGCACGACCATTCGGGCACAACTGGATCCCTGCATGTAAATGTAACTAGTTTACTAGTATAGGAGATCACTTCATTTAACATTCGTTCCTTTATTGTTCCCCGCGTTGGAACAAGCTTATCTTTAACTCTCAGCCCCTACAGCATATTCTATGCAAACAAATCCATTCATTCATCGCCAGGATGCTAATCGGGTATTCGCTGGGGCGAGATGGTAAATATTACATGATTCATCTAAAACTCATTGTAACAGTTTTTGAGCAAGTCTCAAGAGCAAAAATAGGACTGCAAATACGAGACAAAGAAGAAAATCAATAAGGCACATGAGCAGAAACTTTAGTAGCCCGAGCCGTAGGGATCCCAATTTCTCAAAACAGTATGCTATACGAGTACAAGACCCTGCTCGGCAGCGTCAAGAACAGCACAGTCGATTCATAATCGTGGCGCATTCAGCCCAGAGATGGTTCTTTAGCCGTCTCTATTTCCATTCCATGTCAGTCACCTGCAGCAGAATCGATTAGCATGAAAACAACATGTAGCTCTTTCGAGCGCAGTGCACGAATGTTGAAGACGACATATACAATAGCTGCATGACAGGCGAAAGGCGTACCTTAGCTTCATAGATCACGTTTCAGACCAGTCTTAGACGATCATCTGCGCAAGACCTTGGCCGCCCAAAGTCTTGCTGCCGACGAATTCCTGGCTTTTGAGGCCCGCCAGCGCATAGAACAAACCGGCGATGAGTAGGAAAACGGCAGCCGCAATCAAACTGGTAGCGGACTTGATAAGACTGAGCCATTGCACAACACTCATCACTGTATACATTGCAGCGCGCATCCAGTTTGTGGTGAAGCGTCGGATAAATGCATCGAATTTTGGTGATGTGGGGCATATTCTGAGGAGGAAGGGCACTTCGGCGAAGATGAGGATCAAACCAGAGATGCTGTGCATTGTAAGCTTCTAAAGCAGTGTAAGAATAGAAAAGGAAAAGCTCACAGGCACAGAACACTAAAGATGATAATCACGACGTCGAACGAGAAGATGTTGGCGATACCGAGAGCCAAGCACAAGACGATGCAGATCACGCCCGTCCTACGTCAGACATCGATTAGCAAAACTGCCTTTAAATGCCATGTTTATAGCTCCAATGTTGTCGCAGTCGCCCAAATCCTATGCGCGAACATTCAAAGTGTATGGTGGTCCAAGGCGGCAACTGAAGCAGGTCCTTTCAAGACAGCGCCAAGCGCTGTGCTCAAGAGATTCAGGCAACCATCATTCGTTTTCGCGAATGTTGTAGAGGCGCACAGTTGGGCAGCGGCGGGCGAGAAAGAAAATAGAGAAAAGCGTTACAAACCATTGTCCATAGATGCCTATGTGATGAGTGGTTAGTTATCCCTTGCTTCGTATGTCAAAGAATAAGTCATTGTAAACAAGGCAGGTCCGTACTGAAGTTTCTTGAGCGGAGCTCCTCGGCGAGAGTCATAGTGCCGAACGAAGATGCGGATATTCGATGGTGCAGAGAACGCTTTAAGTCAGGGTGTATAGAGCAAAGATAGTGCGATGCTGACGGTAGCCTTATATAGAGGTGGTGGAAAGTATGGTCGGTTGATCGTGTGGCTACTACTTAAGATTACCAGCCGGGAGTAGACGCGATTGACGGTTTGAATGGGGCCAGTTTGTCTGTCCGGGCCGATCCCTTCACCGCGCGGCAGAATGGCCTCTTCCGCCTTTGAGGTCGGGGATCCCGCATTATTATGTTGCCAGCAACTTTCCCCGGTTCCTAGATAAAGAGCTCGCCAATCTGCAACAGAAGGCTTTCCACCGCGGGAACTGAGTACAAGCCTCAAGAACATTTCGACTAGGCTGGCTATCAATAGTTGTTGCTTTCTCCATTGATACAGCTATGGAGGCTTCGCCAACTAAACACGCCCGCAATGTCTCTAGATGTAAGGAGCATTAATGTTCGATGCTTGTTGTATCATCGGCAATCTAGAGAATATAAGGCTGATTCGTCCTAGCTTCAAGGCCGCGTAGCACAACGAAGGGTCCTCTAGATCAGCCAGATGAGTGAGCAGCGAATCTGCTTGATTAGTTAGGCCCATACTAACAATTACAGCCCGCTCGGCTCCGAAACAGTGAACACAGCCGCATCCCCAAGGCCGGCTACAGCAGACTTTGCTGGATTTAACGGCGCTTCGTTTAGCAGACTGGATCCATTGGGACCAGATGAACTGCCACCAACAGTGGAGAAGGATCTCTCGTACCTGCTCCGGTATGATGTGTATCATTCGCTGTCTCAGGTAGAAATACCGCACGCGCTTCGCTCTGAGTTCCTTGCCCCAACGTCAGATGAATCGCTGTCCACAAGCCTAGCCACCCTTGAGCGGCTTCTGGCTGAAGGTCACTTTCTGCTCGCTGCTTATTTGTGTGGGACGATCTTAACATCCTCGTTGATCTCGCCTACTGACATCAAACGAATCTTTGCTCTGTTTTACACTCGGCTAGCGTGCCTGCAACTGTCAGGAAATACGATCATTGCAGCGCAAGAGTCAAAGGCACTCGAAGACCTGAGCTCCGCCTTCTATTATGCGGAACCGATTGCCGGGACGTCTGATAAGCACCCAAACTATCCTCGTCACATCGTACCATGGCCCCTACGAGTGTTGGCTATTAGACTCCAGAGCATTGGATTCGGCGACTCACGTAGGGGCATTGGCGGACTCTACGAGGTTGGCTTGGAAGCGCGAAGGGAGATTTTGCGGCCAGATATGGACCCCGAAGAGCGGAAGTTGTGGAGAGAGCGATTGTCTGACCTCGGCATGAGGAATGTGAACGCGCTCATTGAGATGGGGGATCTGGATGCCGCCAGGAGATCACTCGCTAGCTTGCGTATAGCGGAATCGGAAAGCGAGATCAATAAATTGAGAAAAGTACTTTTGATGCTCATAATTGGCGATCTTGATGCTGCGAGGCAGGTTTGTGGCGAGGCGAGCGATGCCGGGAACACCGTGTTTCGCCCGCTCCTCAGTATGGCCGAGGGTCGGTACGACGACGCAGTGGCTGAATGGCGCGCCTTACTTGGTAACGAGGAACGCAGACCCGATGAGTCCATGATCTCGCAGAACCTGGCGGTGTGCTTGTTGTACACTGGTAGGTTGAACGAAGTAAGTCATATTCCATAAAGATTACCTACTACCAAGCCCGTGCTTAACCATGCCACAGGCACGTGAGGTCCTTGAGTCACTGGTCCACGCAAACCAGTCGTTCTCGAGTCTCGTGTTCAACTTGTCAACCGTCTACGAACTATGCTCTGATAAATCCGCCAAGCTAAAGACCGACCTTGTAGAAACAGTGGCCAGGCAACCAATCACTGGGACTACTAATCTTGATCGGCCCAACGGGGACTTCAAACTTTAGTGACAGCAGAGTCACAGAAAGTCTACACTTGATGGCAAGGAGGTCCCGGGTTCTAAAACTGGTGCGCTATTCTAAGAATGCCTGTCGGATCCTCCAACTATATAGCCGTCTAAACACCTGAAACAAACGCCATACTCCGTCAATGCCCGTATAAGCGCCAGATAACGATGCAGCAATGACAACACCAAATCGACAACATCATGGATTTTCCTTTATAGGTGCAAGGTTATTTTGGGGCCTTTGCTTTGGCTTCCGGATGATGATTCTGTCGCCCTCTTTCTCCCAACCTAGGCTCTCCGCCTTTACCAGGTTCTCCCATGTCCAATTGCTGTCACCGGTGCAACCTTCAGTGACCCATCTGGTGTCAGTGCTGAGATAAGCTTTGCCGACTGCTTTGAGAGCATGCCGTCTGACGCGGTCTTCAGCCCAATTCATGACGGCACGCATCCGGGAATCTACATCTTGCCGGATCTGCCAGAACACAATCCAGTTATCATGTGCCAGGGCGTTCAAGACACGGTCTATAGTCGATGACTGAAAACCGTATCGTCTGCGCGCACGCGCACGAAGTTGATAAGCAGCAACCATGTCCTCCTGTCGACATGCGTAATCCAGGATCCAATACGAAATGAGATCTTTCAGGTCAGAGTCCGGCAAAGGGTGAGAAGAAGTGTGTAATTCCTCTAGGATGTAGCGAAAGGAAGGAAAATATGACGGAGGATGTCGGGCTTGAATCGCGAACTTGATGGAAAAGATGTGGACTTGCTGGGAGAAAGAAATGGGAATTGTGGAGCTGGTAGCCAGAACCGCCTCGCGCAGCTTGCGAAGAGAGAGGAGAATGGTGGACAGTTCAGTGGAGGGGGAAGGACTACGGGGCCCTGTCGACTTATTGTTCAAGGAGGGAAGAGAAGCTGGTGGATTGCTGGTGGCATCACTCGAAGCGCTCCTGGGAAGTGACGTCCATGCCGCTTCTAGGTTTTTGGAATGGCGGGCGCAGAATTCCATGTACCGATTTACAATCTTGTCATAGTACTCCTTCTGAACCTTATGGTCTAGCAATCTGTGAGTGTCAGCGCTGCCGCAGTTAACCGCATCGTCGCTCCACCATGGGTATCAGGAGGCCGTGAGCATACTTTCGATCGCCTTTAGATACAAACCCCACGGTGTCGAGCGAGTCTGCCACGGGCTTTAACCGACTGCCTGGGGCTTTTCCGGGCTGCGCATGACCAGACATGGTGTATATATAGTGGGTCGCAAAAGGAAAAAACAGAGAGGGGGGTTATTGATATTGCGTCATGCTCGAATTGGAGGATGAAGCTATCCAAAGTGATGGACTGGTGAATTGATCTGCGGGGATCCCGTCGGGGAAGTGCCGGGCTGTTTGTCTCATTTGCACTGTTTGTCAGTTTTCCCAACGAGCCAAAAGTCCCAAAAGGGAACGGCGATACTCCGCGGAATCCCCAACGCTATTCTTGAGGTTCCTCACCCATCACTTCGGGTTGAGGCGTTTTAGGGGGGTTGTTTTGCTTCTTCTTGACCCTTTAATCTGCTATTCCGTGTACATATTTCTTGTTTGCTCTTACTAGACGGTCATCTTACCTCATTCTCACGCGTATACCCCCCC